TTATATATATATATATATTAAGTAAAGCTTTAAATTGTTTCATTTTATGGCTTCATTAACAAACATGTCTTTAGATGAACTTGGGGTATTGTTAAAATTATCTTATCATGATAGTTATTTACAATAAAGCCTCCTGAATAAATATAGTTTTATTAAGAATTCCGCTGCTGACTTGCAAAGGTTTAGTACGCTCTTAAATTTGACATGATTTTGATCCTATTGAAAAATAATGGTCGATCGCGATCAAATTGGTTTTATAATTGTAATTGTGGTTTTGGTGACTTTGGTACTAGGAATAAGGAAATATTTACAATATAAAAAAAAGTTGTTCAAAATGAACCTTCAAGAAAGACATGCAGGCAAGTATTTTTCAGGTTTGTAGCTTTTGTTTTTAAATCTCGTGATGCGTAAACAAAATTGTACGTCATAACTGTTTATTTGTATTACATGGTTTTCTAAAATTTTACAAATTGACAAACAACACAATAAATAGGGAGAATCCTATGTGGTTTTTGTTACTTAATTCATTAGATTATTATTTCAATTATTATAACTACAATAGTATGGAATCTGAGTTTTTTTTAGGTAATACTTGGTATTTTATTTCAAAAATATGTTTAAAAACTGATATAACATGAACTTGAAGGAATATGGTCTGATGCAATTTTCTTGTCTAAGGTTAATATAATATTAGCTCATTGTGAATTATTATTATCATTAGAAGTGGAAGAAATAAATTTAAAAAAATATTCACGATACAGCATCCTGTTTTCTCTTCTAATAGCATTCAGGAAAAAACATGAAAAAACATTTTTCCATCAGAAATAAATAGGATCAAAGTGTAAAATTTCAATTTAATTAATTTCAACATAATTTAGCAATTTTTATAGATAGAATCTTTTAACATTTTTTCTGTTTCTGGTTTTTTAACTTTCTTAGAATTTTTCTCTTAGACGAGGTTCTAAAAGACCCTCTATAGGTACATTAAAAGTCATTAGTCATCATGAATTTGTTGTTGTTGTCCATTATCTTACAAATTCAAATGATTAATTAATTTTGTCGAAAATACTTAAGTTTTCATTCGGATTTGCGATAATAAATAAAAAAAATCGCCTTAGGTTTATCGTTTTTTAATACAGGCACTACATTTTTTAAGCAATAATTTAAGGATTGAGAATTGCTTTTGAATAAATAGTCAATTTGTACAAATAAAAATTATAGAATTATACTTTTGAGTTTATAAGAAAATTTTTGATATCAGAGATGGGTGTGATGAAATTATTATGTTGTTCGGTCAAAGCTTTTTATATCACTTCTTTAGTGATATTATTTGATTTAGGTTGATTAGATTAACTAACCTGTAGATATCAAGATGCCAGTTTACAATAAATTTGCACTATAGCAGTATGTACATACATAGTTACTAGCGCTTCAATTTAATATTTGGATATAAATAGTGTCGGGTTTGACCAAGGCCTTTGAGGAGAGTAGAGGACGTAGAGGTATATTTGTGTGGAATTAAAAAAATATATATTTTTTTATATTAATGAGGTGAAGCATTTTTTTGGTCTACGATGTTTGAAGAGAATGTAAAAATGTAACATTTTTTGATGAATATTTGACCATTTTAGTCAAAATTTTTCATTAGAAATTAAACACACTTTGCAAAAGGCTCCAACAAAGTCTGACATTGTTTGTAGCAACCCTTGTATTCGGTAATTTAACAAGTGATGCATTTATTTTACTTCAATAACTAACAATTAGAAAATAAAATAGACTCTAATGGCAAACTAATACTGCATCTTGCATTCGCACGTTGATGTGTGTACGCGTAAAATTTCTGTTGATAATAATCGCAGCGTCATGAATGTGGATTCAAAAATTAAATGTTATTTTCACAGGTGCGTTTTTGTGTGCACGATGATGTATGTACGTATTAAAAAAAAGAAAATTTCCATGTGGTGGGGCCGTTTTTGTGTGCACGATGATGTATGTACATACCTACATATATTAAAAAAAAAAGATAATTTCCATGTGTTGGGGCCTTAAGACTTAGATGTCTGTTATCTTATCTGCATCTAATTTTCTGCATAAAACATTTTATTTAAGCAACAGTCGTGAAGAGTTGTTGTTGTTAACATGGATGTTGATATTTACAGTTTTAGCATCCTTTTGTTTCTAGCAGTTAGTTTAATAGTCTGGCGCTTACTTTATTGGGTTTGCCCTAGTCCATGGGACTATCAGAGTGATGCAAGAGATTTACTTGAAGTATCAGGTAAGACTACTGAGAATTATATATTTCACAATCACACAGTATACCTATTTCGTACCAAACCAATTGACGTCAAAATTGATATATTGATTAATGGAAGAGTTTCGGTGCGTAAGCTTTTAAGCATTTGAACTAGAAGTTTTACAAATAAAGCCATAAATTTCTCATAATTATAATCTTCATAGGCATATTTTATCTTATCTATAATACCTACAGGTTTAGTAAATTTACGAGTCCGTCTATAATCCATGCAAACCCACATTCTAGTGAAACTGATGTGATCTTAAAAGTGTGAAATGGTGGTCGAATCATTCGTAATTTATATTGTTGCAGTGGTTTTAATATTGATTGTGTTAGCAGTGTTAATAGTGACATGTTTTCGACAAAAAGATCTACAAAATAGTACGACTGTGGAGGACGCAACAAGACATCGACGCTATATTAACAGAGGCGGACAAATTGTCCTAAGTGAGTTTTAGAAAATTATGAATGACACTGATTACAAATCACAAGATATTTAAAGACATCTCCAAGAAATCAGACTGATAATGTTGATAAAGAGACTATTTATGACAACTTCAACAAAGGCAAATATTGTATTATTACCCATTCTCAGACTTTTATCAACTTTAAATAGAGATTAATTTATTTGCAAATACTAAAACCGAGCTACACCTAGAACAAAGTCAAAGTAAAAATAAAAAGAACCTCTACAAAGTAAAGGATTATTGTGTTATTAAGTCTACAACGAAGTTTATTTTTGTCACATTACATTTAATTATATATTTTCTTTGTTTTTCGTATTTCTGAGATTAGTACTAATAAATGTGTGTCTTCTAGACATAATAACATCACCAAATTCGTACATATTTATAAAGGGAATTTTGTTACAAACTGGTAATATTTAAACATTCAGGTTGAAAGACTGTATTAGTGTTATTAGTGTTATTACTGTTAAGTGCCATTGCACCAAGCAGTTGTATGTGTCTGTACCTAATTGTTATTTTCATTTTCGTATTTTATTATGTGCTCTGGTGTTTATTATTTATATAGCTAACTTAATGTACAGACTGTTATAACTTATAAGTAGGTACTGTCTTGTGGTAAATAAACAGCTAAAAGAAAACCATTGAGCACAAAAAACTGAACAAGTTCAAAAACTTTGAAAAAAACGTTTTAATAAAAAGAAAAGCTAAAACAATAGATTTTGCAAACCCGTGTGGGTTTGCATTAAAAAAATTGTGTTGAAAAATTAAGGTATAGTTCTTAATTTCTTCAGTATTTTTTTTTTTTTTTGAAAAATAAATTTTTACTCCAACTGATCAAGTGTGTAATACTCGTAATTTTACGACAAATTGATACATATTGTGTTTTATTAAAAGGTGCAAAGTAAACCGGTATTTACCTTCAATTTAAGGATATAGATAGGGCTGAAAATAGCTGTTAGCTGTTTATCGTAGATAAAGATTTGTTGCATCATGTTTATTGGCAGTTCCTCTGTTTCACTTAGAATTTACATCAAGTTAAATAATGTCAAATTATGAAAATATTCAGTTCATTCAGTTGCAATTTTAACAGTAAAAATCGGTATTTCATTTATTTTATTCCCAAGGGAATAATAAATAAAAACTAAATAAAGTGTTATTTTATTCTTTGTTGGGAGGATATAATTAATTAATTAATGTGTTAATAACTCCAATAGGAGATTGGTCTTTTTTTGTTTTGAAAGTGGAGAGATTCTTCTTTTCAAAACTCACGTCCAGATTTAAGTTTTGCACACTGCCTTATAGTTTATACCATTTTATTACCGCATTAGTATTATTATAATTATTATAACAACATGGCTACATTTGAAAAACCTCTCAGTATTGTACAAACGTAATGAAAATATAAAATTTAACAGGAGTTTTGTCGGAATAAATCGTGATAAGATAATTTGCTTGATAGATAAATGTCTGCATTTATTTCAGTTATCAATAGCCATTTTAGTTAGTACTTAACCCCATCATGGGTGATAATGGCGAAACCGCTGTTGCTGTGTGTGCTGTTTTTGGATTTTGTATATCTTTTATGGCATTATGTTGCAAAGCTTTATATCGGAGTAAGAAAGCTGGAACACGAGACCGTGCCAGAAGAGCAGCACTTGCAGAAAGGCATAGAAGAATAGTTCAGACGTGTAAGTGATTGATAAGTCTTCTGCTCCTCCAAAGGTTTTACTAAAATTGGAATTATTTAACTCGGTGGAAATCATGGTTTCCGCTTATCTGTTTGGTTTGATTACAAGGTTCGATTCTAAATAATATCAATACAATCCAGTCGGTACTAATTCAATAAAAAAAAAACTAATAACAGGAAATGTCCACTTCTTTTGACGACAACATTTGAGTTTTTAAGCAAACTTTGACCAAAAATGCTTATTTTTTTTATGTTTTTTGATTTGATCAGTAATCAGACCAATTTGGGTGAAGAATAGATATCGCTTTTTTCTCTTTATTAATTTGACATGTTTTTTAATTCTTATTATTATAGGTATGTATATTTATATATTTGTTTTTTCTATTCTGCTATTATTTTTTCAATTAACAAATAATTACAGTTATTAGTAATTATTAGTAATTAAATTACCATTTTTGAAATAAAATACACGATTAAAGAAACATAAATATTCTCGTGATGAGTGTTGTTATATACCTACTGTTGAAGTTTGTTCATGCTTAAGTATGCATACGTCATAATTAAAGAGAACAATAGCATAATCAATAAAAAATACAATAAAGCTTGCGATAATGATATATAATTATAGGCCGCACTAAATATAGATTAGTTTTCTTAAATAAAGAATTGGAACTGAGCATAGGCACAAGCAGATACTTATAGGTATCCGGAAAACATACTAAATATTTTATTCCAATTCTATAAAATGTGCTTAGTTAGTATAAACAGTTCACAACTATAATTTACTACTGTTTAGAAAAACAATTAAAAATTTCAAAAGAAATCTATTGCTTAACAAAAATCTATTTTTAGTTTGAGACATTTTAAAATAACACAAATGCATACTTTAACGCTCACTTATAAGCTATTGTTTCCTAAAATCAAAGATAATTACAGAACAAAATTCGATAAGATTACTAACATTAATCAATTGGTTCTAATTAACACTTGGTAAAGGATGTCCTCCATAGAACATGGCATTAGTGCCTTTATAGTACTCTTTATTTGTGTTTTGTGCGTCATTTTTGTACGATTATTTATTCAATCTCCATGTTCTAAAAAACACCGTAGAAATCGAATTAGACGTCGAATAAGAAATGAATTCATGCGCAGAAAGTATTTCAATGAGTCAATAATTTGTTAAAAAATTTAAAAAGTTCACGGTATTGTTTTTGATTAGTTATCCTTCTTAAAATAGTGATAGTGAAACATTTTATTTCATTAGAATTACAATATTAAAACATCGAGAAAGTGGAAATTATTTTTATTTGGTAGAAATGTAAATGTGTTTATCCATATTTAAAACATGAGTGTTTTGCCAAAATTTAAATTTAAACCGTCAACATTTTCCGCTCAACTCTTATCCGCCTGTTTTACATTGACGCATTTATCTGAAAATCACTAGTAATATGTTCTACTCATCTAAACTTTTGCGATAAAAGATCTTGATATTGTGGCAATATGGTACCCACTTTGATTGCGGTTACGATCACAGGAGTAGCTTGTGTTGGTTGCTTCGTTTGGGCTTTCTGTTTAAAGTACTGTTGCAAAAATAAACCTAATCAAGGTAAGAAAAATCTTTTGGAAAGTCATTTGACCTTGCGATGGAAACTAGACAATTTAGTCAAATAATTATAGTCGAGATGTCCTCGGTAAATGTTGTTTATCTCTATTAATTTTACAAACAAACAACAAACTTCAAAATTCACAAGTTGGAGTCAGTTTCTAGTAAACAATAGATTACAAATGTTCGATGTTTCGTTCCTCACTGTGCTTTTTTTAGTTTTTATGGTTTTACTATTTATTTTGTATGTATTTTTACAATGGAGAGTTGTAACAAAGGCTCGTAAATCGTACAGATTAGTGGCTCAAAATGACAGTGAGGCTTGCTCTTTACTCACTTGTGGCTTACATTGGTTTTGATGAATTTTTTTCATTACAGCTAATCAACAGGAGGACATTTACAACATAAGCAGTCGCGTGCAAGGACAAGAACAAGGACAATGGCCAACACATGATAATCATGTCTCTTTAGACCATTTCACGATAACAAACGAAATAAACAAGTACAACGATGGTAAGTTTTGCGTTTTTCAACTTTAACTGGTCTAAAAACAAGGTCATTCCAGATCCTCCTACGTATGAGGAAGCAATGAGAATTGCTGCGTCCAATAACAACAATACTGTAGTAGCTGCTGTACCAAAGACGAATGTTACTCCCACTAGTACTAGTACTAGTACCGCGAACCAATAGAAACTAAGTTTTGACTCAATCTGTATATATTGTATATTTTCATTCGAAAATCTTGTGATAGGTGTGTGAGATTGTGAATGTACTCGTTTCTGATATGTGAGGATTTATTTTTAAGTGTATGAGAAAATCTCAGAAGATTTTTTTTAATATAGTATTATAACGTATTTAAAATTGAATTTCTAGTTTCTATAATTGCCCGATTCTCATTGCCATCACAAAACTTGCAAAATGGCTATTAAAAAGAAACAATAATTTGAATTAAAAACTTAACAAAAGCAAACTTTTAGCCAACAACAATCCATTTAAAACATTTTCTGCTATAAATAAATTTAATAAAATCAATGATTTCTTTGTTTTAATTTTGATAATTTTCTTAATTTTTTTAGATGTTAGGCAAAGATAATAATTTTTTGTTATTAAAAACTCACAAAAATTGTATAGGTAGGTGGGTATTTTGACAAATGTACCTATTAACATACAAATATTTATTTTTACTTTTAGTATTGTTAGCAAGCAACAGCTACTAGATTTTGAATGTTTACCTTTTTATTACTTTAATTTAAATCTGTCGTCATTAGCAAATATGTTTAATTTATCTGCAACTTAAAAAATAAATCAAAAATACAGGGTGTTCGGTCCAAGTCGCCCCGGCTGATAACACCTAAACTTACTTCTTTTTTTCAAAAAGTAAATATTTAAGTAATAATATTTCATTCTCGGCTTTCTTAATAAATGTATTAAATTTTTTAGCACATCCGGTGTTGCCGGAAATGCTACCAAATTTAGTTTTTCAAATGGAACACCTATGTTTTTTTTTTCCTCCAAACAACAATAATTAACATGACAAATACTGTAAAATACTATTTATTACATTTTGCGTAACACAATGCAATCAAAAAACATCTTAAATCTTAGAATTTTATAAGGAAATTGGTCGTGTAGCCTGATTTTTAATTTTAAAGGAAAGGGGTGAATAAAAAAATGCTTGGATACAGTTTAATTGTTGGTTTGTCAAATCTAATTTGTCAGTTGATGAGCGAGTACTCTTATGGAAACTCTTGGATTTCGACTGAAAACAAAACATTCAGATTTCTATTTTCTTGTTCTTCACAAAGAACCACTTAGTCTTAAGAAGCGAACCTATTCGTCTCAGTTGTTTTTCAATTCGATTAAATTTCCAACGATTTGGGTAAACTCTATTTGAGTTTTTTTCTCTATACTGTCTTTCAGCTTCTGCTCCATTTTTACTGCACTTGAAAAACACTTAAAAGCTGATCTACCAACTCGTCGTAATTAATATCATCCATTATTAAAGATCTGAATAAGATTTATTGACAAACTAACAATTTGTCAAACTAACAATTAAACGGTATCCAAGCATATTGCTTTTTGCATAAATACCTTGACAAAAAAATCCGCCTACGTTGCAAAATTTACAATGAAATTCAAAAATTTTAATTGTTTTCTGAGTGCATTATGTAAAGTAAAATGTAAGTAATAGTGATTTACCGTATTTTTCATGCCAATTATTATTGTTTCGAGCAAAAAAACATAGGAGTTACATTTGAAAAATTAAATTTGGTAGCATTTCCGGCTACACCGGATGTGCCAAAAAAATTTGATGCATTTACTAAGAAAACGAGGAATGAATAGTATTATTTGAAAAATTAGCTTTTGAAAAAAAAAGTAAGTTTAGATGTTATTGGCCGGGGCGACTTGGACCGAACACCCTGTGTATCTTTTACGTATAATTTTGGTGACAATTTTTTTCATACACATCCCATAAACCGCGGTGTTTTTGTGACTATGACCGCGACAAAAGTTTGCCCTAACTACTGTATTACAGCGACAAAATGCAACCTAACTTTAAGCCTTATTTGTTAATTTAGTGATTTACGTATTCATTAAATTGTCTTACCGAATTACACTCAAGCAAAACTTGACATTTTTAATTCGAGTTTTGTTACCTTTAGGCGATTTAACTCAAAAAACTGCCAGAAAACAAAATTCTCATTAAAATGTCAAGTTTACTTCAAAAAAAAAAAGCTCTCGTATAATTATCAGTGACAAATGGGTTTTTGTAATTTGTTTTTAGTTTTAATTTTAAATAAAACTTAGGTACATAAAAGGACTTAGGTATATAAAAAATAGAATCATGTGAAAATGTAGACAAATACAGACAAAACAGTTTAAAAAATGAGATATGAGAGATATAACAAATAATTGAAACAATAAAAAATTTACTCCTACTACTTAAATCAGATGAGAGAAGATTACAACAAAATCTTTTTCAAATGTATTAAAATCGAACAAAACAAACTTATCATTAAACAAACAAAGTTGCGTTTAATAAAACAATGGTTTCTTTATCCTAATAATTTACAACATTGGGAATACCATATGTAATTGTTTTGTTAACAAACTTGCTTCAGTTCACCTAAGTATGGGCTAGAGAAATAGTGTTTGAAGCCTTACTGAAAAATCTGTTTCATTCGTCTGTTAAAGATGTAAAAAGTTGGGGTAACTATATCTAAATATGTTTTAAACTAAACACATTAACAAACTTTTGATTTGTTTAGTTGGTTTTCACTTCAGAGGTGATTTCCTCCAAAAGTGCAAATGTGTAAAGCCTTTTCTTCTTTATTAAACACCGTATAGTAAACCATTCTTATCTAATCTATTAATTTCGAAAATCGATGAGATTGATAGCATTACATTTAATATGGGGTACGTATCTATTATCTTTTAAAACAACAAAAGTATTTAATGTCCATACAGGATGGTTATAGAATTGGTTCTCTTGAGTGGCTTAATTATAATATTTATTGCTTCTTTCTGTGGATTGCTGCAAAAGATTAGAAGGACTTATGAACAAGACAGGGAATATACCGGTGAGTTCAATTTCTAAGTGACAACGTCGACAATTTTTTTTTAGCAAGGATGACAAATGTTTCATCACCACAACTTTCTCTTACTGAAATTTACATAAATCCAACATTTACTGAAAACACTGAAAATCATTCCGTGAGTCAGGGAGTGTTTCCTTGCGCCCCTCCACCATATACAGGTATAACAAAATAGTTCTATGAAAATATGTCAAATGTTTGTATTTTAGAAGTATATTGTGAACCACCTCCAAAATATGAGGACATTATCAAAAATCGAGACTTCAGGGTACCTGTACACGTTAGCAACTGAATAGATAAGAAAAGAATGGTGAAATAATTGAGTACCTTTTCTTTATGAAGAATGAAAACGTTTCGTTGGAAGAGATTTTTTACGAAATTTAGTCTAGTCTCATCGGCTTAAGTATGTACATACATACGCACTTTGATCAAATTTGCTTTAATTTAATATTAAGCTAATTACATGTTTATTTTTGTAATACAAGCCGCTAACACAAATTTTGACGTAAATAGAAATGCAGCTGGGCAGAAATAATGACTAAAAATAACAAATTGTAATAAAACTTTTGTAGCGTCAAGTCGAAAAATTACTATTGTTGTGAGGCATACTGGATGTCAAAAATTGTGTTCAAGGTTTATTAACCAGGTTTTATTACATTGGTTTAGTTTATCTGTAGTTATCATTCGCCATTTATTTTTTGAAATGACTGTGTGCGAAACTGTTCTTCACTCATTTGATGATATTACATTAACTGCGTTACTGTTCGTAAAGAATTTATTTGTAAAGGCTTTATACATTTATGTCTTATCTATTAAACCTACTTGGTTCTATTTCACAATGTAATAAAATTGTCTCAATGTAATTGTATAAATAATGGAAATAAATATAACGTGATGTAATATTTTTTCAACAACAGTTTATCAAAAAATTAAAAGTATTGAAATAGAAGCAAAGTCACAAATACAAGGTATAAGCACCTATTTAAAAAAATTATTTGGTAAAAAAACTCGTTTTTAATTCCTTTTTTTCAAAAATTATTCACCACAACCACATAGTTATAGTGTTTCAATTTTCATTCTAATACCAGCAGAAACCAAATAAAAAGATAAAACAGTGATATCAAGAAGTTTAATGTTGCACCAGAAGCTTTTATCAGTTTGCTGTTGGTCAGTGTTTGAACTTGTTCGTGTCATTAGGTGAAGTATAAGTGTGGAATACCAAAGTGCTTAAAATATCTGGCATTGTGCTAAATTTTTATTAAATCAAACAAATACGAGACAGACCTGAAAGAAAGTCTACAGAACCCCAGTAAAAGTAATCACATACATGTTTCCTTAGGTTTTCTTTCAAATTTAGATTGCGTGCAGACACTAGTTATTTAGGACGTTTAAAACAGGTCGAAAAACACTTTTCTTAGAATATCACTTATAAAAAGTGTAGCTGCATGTCATTAATCGAAAATTCGAAACTTTTCTTTTGATTTTGAATCTTACAGCTTGAAATTTTAATGCTGTTTATCTACTTAACCATCGGCTAATCTGATAAAATTCCCAGAATTTGTTGCGTAAACAAGCCAATTATTCGGTTTCTTTCATCAATTTGTTGCCTCGAAAAATAAAGCTTCCAAAAGGAGACGTCTACAATAATAAGCTGTGTTTTTATATAAATTGTTAATACCTCAATGATACAGGTGAATAACACAAGTTTGTAGTGAAACTGCTATTACAACAAAACAAGGCAAACCTCAGCCAGTGAAAGGAATAAGTTCAATGTCAGAATTATATAGGAACATTGCAATTAAGTCAGAGTATGAGTTATAGAAGTTGAATCAGTTTGTGTCTGACGTTGGCGCGATTCGTTCACGTTGGAAAAGGTTTCGAAAGTTGACGAGTGAAGAGTTTTTGAAATATTGTGATTATCACGTGCAGTGAAACTAATTAACGATTCAAATATCACACCATTACATCACTTTTTAGTTGGACTTTGATACAAACACAGTAAATTGAGTGCTCAGGTTCTTGCTATATGTAATTAAAATTTCCACAAATTTGTTTAAATGAATTAATTTGGTTTTTTAATAGAACTGAGTTAAAACTAAATTTTAGTAATGATCATGAAATTGTGATATAACTAGGTTATCAGGACGAGGAAAGGTCATCAACTTCCGTATCCCATCTCCTCATTTTGAATAAATTTTAAATTTTGTTTCAGAACCAGTTTTGAGAAACACTTCTTATCAACTAAAAATTACGACAGTTTAAATTTTATCAAAAGCAATTTTTTGAGTACGATTTTTGTAATAATATTTTGAAATTAATTTGTTAATTAACATCAGCAAATTTGTGATAACTGTTACTAAACATTTGGTTATTGGAAAAAAACTCGAACGCACCTGCAGACAACGTAAAGTTCAGTTGATGTCAGTTTTCAGAAGTCATACATAATTCTCTAATAACTTATTTGTGACACTGTGATGTTAATTTTCTCAATTAGATATTATTAGTAAGAATTAAAAAAAAACTTTTTTAATTATACAATGATCATTATTTTGTTGTTCAAATTACTTTGAAATTACGAAATCTTATTAGCATCCAAGTTATAAAATAATTATGTTATAAATAAAAAAAGAGAGTCATTTTTTAACTCCTTATTAATTCTAAAAGAGGAAAAATAATAAACGGTTTGTTTAAAAATAATCAAACTTCTTTAACACCAAAGCAATACTAAAATTTTTCACAGTATGTAACTAACTACAGTTATAACTGGATGTTTCCGGTGTTTCCTGTTGGTAACTACAGAAAAATTATATTAATTTAATAATTAATAAATATTGTTTTGTTGATTAACTCTGTCTGTGAGAAACTTGTTACAAATGTTTGTTTTCCCTTAATTCAGTGAAAGTAATATTGTTTCCTTTTCCGTTTTAATTTTGTAAAAAAATAGTGATATGTAATTAGAAAACTTTGGACATTACCATGATGTTCAAAATAAATAAAATTCAAAATGGGTATTGCTGACTTATTGAAAAATATAACCAATTATTCAATCCTCTATGTTAAAATTGAATTTTATCTACTCTTTTCTTCATGTTAAAATGAAATTTTATCGTCTAGATCATAAAAAATACATCCATTGTTGCATATCTGCGGTTGTTAATTGCTAATGATCTTTGACATTAAATTTCATTGTTGAATTTTACTTTGACTCGGCTGACGCCTCGACGCTAAATTGCTCTAAAAGGTAAAATTCAATTTTATCGTCTTGTATAATAAATAACTATTTATTTAAAGTAAAATACATAGTTGATATACAATAAATTTGAACAAATATTATATGATATTAAACATTATAATATAATTATTACACTTCAAAATACAAAAAGCAATAATCTTCTAGATTATCTAAAATTTAGTTGTTCCATCCAAATTATTTTTTAATTTTAAAACATTTTAAGCATTACCTTAGTTTTAAAAACATAATTTTGTATCCTAATAAGTAGGTACACCTGTTTTTCTCTTTGATTGTGAACTTTGTTTACATACTTATTAAATTTGAAATCTTTCTAAATACTTTAACAAAGAGTTTAATCAGAAATTCTTAGTTGGATTTTCTGTATAATTTTAGTGTGATGTGTCATCGTCATTGACTCATGTCTTATATTTCTTGCTAAAATGAATGCTAGAATTTTCGAGATTTGTGCAATTACTCGAGAATTAAAATATTAATTTAGGTATTTTTTATCGTTGTATTTAAATCTGTAATAAAATAGGTACATATTTTGCACCTGCAAACATATTTTCATAATTATTTATCGATTACTTGTAATGACAATAATTAAATATAAGTATTTACTGCTAATGTACTTAATTAATAGCCAATGAAGTAATTTACTGATAAAAAGACAAGAATGTATTTAATTAACATAAATGGCAGGTGAATTCATCAGACCTAAATATATTAGTTTTGTTTTATTTCTTTAACTATGATCATAAAATCGACTTATTTAATTAATTATTCTTGGATCTAAATTTATAGACGAGTGTAAACATCAAGTTGAACGCGTGAGGTTTTTCAATAGAAATAATAAATCATTGTTGCAACCGAACAAGATCTGTATTTTGCCTTAACAAATATTAATTTTACATATTTGTCCTGTTTTTTGGTGCATCATAAAAAATCAGTCAAGACGTGCTTTTTTAAAAACATCATGTGACATTTTTGTGTATCAAGATCTAATTTACTGTGACACCGTGATAAAAACACAATGATAAAAATTTACTATAATTTAGGAGTGTTTAAGACGTTTATAAATAATGAAGCGCGTCTACATTTTGTTTATTTAAAGCCTTAAGCTGCTTAGCATTTACTGTAAAATTACTGATATAACAGAAACACATTCAAAGTGTGGACCGATAAAACCACAATTAAAAATACCATGTCCAAGGTGAAGTAATGGTGTGACAATAATTCAATTTTTTGTATTTAGTTGGTGAAAATGAAATCGATTGTAAAATGGACAATTACACACTTATATCAACATTATCGTCATATCTGTTAATCACCTTTATTATTTCCAAGTGATAACGTTGAAAATAATGACAATTATGGTGACTTGGTGATGCGGAGTTGTGTTTGGTGAAGCAGAATGTGCAAATGCCTCCAGTAGTAAGTAATTACATTGCATTTAAGTCACTTTCAAACAGTGATTGCCACAATTAGGAAAATCCGATAAGCTACTTGTCAAATATTTTCGCTGAAAGTGTGACACCAACATCTAGAAATATTTGAGGTATTTCTATTCATACACCAGAGCAGTTACAAAAATTAAAAACGTGTCAGATAAAAAATCTTGTTAACCCATTTACACGTATTTCTTAGTAATTTGTTATTTAAATTGATTTTGTCTACATCTGCATCATAGTTTATTTGATTTAAAAATTTACACTCTATTTAAAAATTATTTTATACACCATAATATGTATAAATCATAAGTTGAGGAAAAACCAAAGGAAAACATCTATTAAAATTAATGATAAATTATACAGGGTGATTCTTAAATAGACCGACAAAATTTTATCCTTGATAGTATCGAATGAGAACATGGTGGAAAAAATATTTTAAAAATGCTTTGTTTAACCGTTCTCCAAATAAAATTTATTAAAGTTATTTTTGAGGTAAAGCGTACGCCACTGATGTGTTCCTAAACACTATTAGCACAGGTAGTGGAAACCGTGGTATTAATTTGATGAAAATGTACTTAATCATTGCAACAATTCATAAACGCCGTAAGTGGCACGGATCAAGGGGGTTTTGCGGTTTTGCCCCTAAAAGATAAACGAGAAAAGGGTACAGTTAGTCCATTTATTCTTGAAAAGCTGTGATAAAATTTCGTCGGTCTATTTAAGAATCACCCTGTATTATTTATTCCTTGTTTGGGTAGGGTGAAAGAGATTCATTATGGGATTACATTGTTTAAATCATTGTTTTCAAATGTGACATTATAAACAAGGACAACAAAAACTTGTAAAATAGATCTTGGTGATCTCTTTCTCAAAATTAATTGACGTTTTGCGCTAACTTAATTTTTAATCACTTATTCTTAAACTTATTTGGGGATCATCAGTATACATATTTTTTTAAATAAAGTACAAAGTGCAAAATAAGTTACTCGTATTAATCGGTTTTTCGACCCTTCCAAGTATGTAGGTTACTTTAATTTTTAAAATATGTACGTTATTTAATAATTTACGTTTTCAGACATTTTTGTTTTTTTTTCAAAATTCGAAAAATTAAATTACAAAAACCTTCATAACCAAACATTTACCTATTATTGTATAAATTACATATTACATTTTCAAATTTATTGTTTATTAATTTTTTTTTTAATTAATAAATTAATAAATGTAGAATAACGTAGAATTTTCAACCAAAAATGTTAAACTATTTCCTGTATAAATTTTCTTCAAGGTTGCTATTATCACGCTTCCTGATAATGTGCTTGTAGTTATTATCACACTCAATACGTAATTCGCAACATTTACCGTGAATTAAGACATGAGTTTTAGAAAACGAATGATAATAAGTTTTATCAACAGATGAACGAGAGTCATCTTTAACATTTAACAATTTTGTTGCCCAAAGTGTTAAAGCTGGTACTTACGATTTTTACTTCTCAATACATGACATACCTACATGAATGAGGATATAAAATAGAAATTGATTTTTTACAGTAGCTACAGATAAAGGATTAATATAAAAATATATTTAATAAAAAATTAGTTAAAAATAATGAAACGCATCTATTGTTTATTTCTTTTAAAGTACATATTATGAATTCGTTTAAAAAAATTTATATTTTCAATTTAAGTACATATTTTTAATTTCATTTGTTTGACAAATCAGTTTTGGACTATTTTGTATTGAAAACTTAATCAAAGTTGCCAATAAATGATATATTATGTATACCTATCCCATTTTTCAAAAAAAAAATGGTAAAACATCCTGTCACATTATTATCAGCGGAAGTTTTAACATCTATTAAAAAAGTGTAGGTGCTATAATTATGTCAGGCATTTTTGTAAACAAATTAGTTGAATATGTCCTACATTTACGTCAATTCAAGGCTTATTTTAGTTGTCCTTCAAACATAATGTACCGAGGTATTGAACTATCAACAAACGGATTTGAAATACAATATTATTACCTTCAATGTAAACTGCGAATGAATCGTACAAATTTTATGACTTGAATATTATGTAAATTCATTATATTTAAATAAAAAGCAATTTAAAAAATATGGTTTCATATACATATCTGTATTAAGAGCATGCATATTTTTTAAAAGAACCTTGAAACCATCAAATTAATTTCCGGCTTGAAACACCACAAATTAACATTGAATGCAAAATTTTCAAATAAATCCTCAAAAACCATGAAATATTTTTACCACAAAATTATAAGTCGCATAAGTAAGCTCCATACTTAATTGCTCAATTCTTGATGAAAAATAATTACCCCACAATTTTCCAATTATGTATTTCCTGTGATACATGCCAAGGAAATGAACCAACAATTTTTTCTACCTAATCGTTGTTTGATGGGGAGGTAAAGCAAAATAATAAGCTACGATTCACGCGTATAATTTTTTTTCAATGTTACCAATACGAATATAATCTGTTCTAAATTATTTATGCATAGCAATGGGTGTAGCTTGAGGTCATCATCTGCTCTCACCTTCGCGTGAGGCTGCCCCATTTCATTTCATGCGGGTCAAGTGAAACCGATTTTTTGTTACAGTTGCTTCGAATCATGCTACTGGCACCTCATAGAAAAGCGCTTTTGCTACGACGAAAGCATAGCTCTGTACGAAGTCCCCGAAAAAGAAGAAAAAAACAACAATTTCTTCGACAATATGGCGTTTTATGATAGCGTTTCTGTGATAGCTGGACGAGCGGTTGTGACCATTGACCCTTTGCCTGAAGAAAAACCCATTGTGCAACAACCGACGAGAAAACTGCGCTGGGAAAATGAAGTGTTGGGGCAGAATAGGTGGGAAAAGCTTTCGAAAAGCGTACCGGCCATTTTTGATGCAGCAAAGAAAGAGGAAGAAAAGCAGAAAAGTGAGGAAGAAAAGAAGACAGAACATGAAGTAAGAACCGGTCGAAAGGTCCAATAAACGTAACAATAAACCGAAAACTATCAGAAAACTTTAGACAAAACAAAAAGCCCTATCTCGATGTTGCGCATAATATTTTTGGGAAATACATATTTTGATTTGTCACAAAGTTCAAATAAACGGCAATTTAGTAAAATTTCTACCGTTTTAAAGAATTTAATAGGCATTTACTGAACGAAATCAGTAGGTAGTATTGACTTTTTTAATAATTAATATAATAGTTTTTAATAATTTCTGAAAGTGCTTTCCAATTGTATAAAACTCTCATGTGACTACAAATGAGTGTAATTTTTTCATGTTGGTAATAAAGTTTAAATATGATTGTGGCATTCCTGATTATCCTCAATAAAACCTATCAACTACGTGTCACAGAAAATACAAAGTTATCGTAATTTTGATCAATTTTCTCTTTAACTAATCTAAAAATCTAAAACTGACACCTGATATGAAGGATTGCCAATTATTTAGTTTCGACAATACACTTTTTTGTCACAACTAGGTACATATTTTTTACAACAAAATACCTTTATATTTATTAGAATTGTTTAATGGTGAAAAAAAAAACACAAAATTTCAAATACCCATTCTCAACCTACGCGTTATTGCATAATGACCAGAAGCCATTGTTTGTAGTGATATGAAAGTTCTATTTATTTAATTTTTGTTTTCTTATATTTTTTTAATAATCAGATACAGGGTGTTTCAAGTTTTAGGGCCGGCGCAAAAATGAATATTTCAAATTGATTAAAAAAAATTTTTGCTAGGGCAAACCGTAGAGAATTATATTAGACTTCAATTTGATGCTTTGATATTGTTCAAAATTTTTAGCGTATGTCAGTGAAACCCTAAAAACCAAATTTGTAAAAAAAATAATTGGAATATTTTCTACATGATAAAATTCCTTGATTTTTTCTGATGGTAACTGTGAAAATTGAATAATGTAAAAGTTGAGTTTGAGTAAGGAATTCTGGTAATTTATGGCCAAATTTGGGATGATGTGGTGCATTGACAATAGAGCGGAGGCTTCATAAATGTCATTGGGGACCTTTTCATTTTCTGGCCTGATTACCATTTATCGCAAACCGCCCATAAATTATTCCAAGTTTCAGATTTTGAAAATTAAAATGTTACTTATTCAAAACCCACAAACTTTTTTATTCTATTTTCAGAAATATCTACCACAGAAAAAATCAAAGAATTTTATGATGTAGTAAATATTCCAGTTAATCGAAATTCTTTTTCTCCAAATTTAATTTTTAAGGTCTCACTGTCATACGTACGATATCAAAACATCAAATTGAAGTGTATTTAATCCTTTTAATTTAATCGTTTACACTAATAAAATTCTTTTTTAATTAATTAGAAATATTTATTTTTGCGCCGGCCTTAAAACTTTAGACACCCGGTACAATAATCACAACCAAATCTCAGTCCTCATAAATAAAATAAGTTGATGGGAGAACAATCTTTATTAATTTGTTTCAGTCCATTTTTTAATTCATTTCGACAAAAACATTTTTAAGTAAATATTTTTCTGATACTTAGAACAAACATAGTAAAATATAATTTTTTTATTAATTCTTTTCTTTTAATTTATTGTTTTCATGTACAAATTCGTGAACTTATCTGTAAATAGTTTTTTTTTGTTTTCCAGCGCAAGAACAATGATAAATCTGATAAATCTCGCGACGCTGTCGACAAACCGAAACTGGAAACCTTGAAGCCCGAGAATCTCGTCCCGGAAATCCGGCGTAGGTCGTTGGCAGAAAGACGTCTATCGAAAAGTCTTTACTTGAAAATCGACCAACCGAAGGAAATCCCCATAATTAGACAACAATCCATGCCGAAATTCTACGTCGACACCCCTGAGGAGAGAGATCAACAACATACATCGATGTTTAGGACTCCCAGTTCGGCTTTGGCAAGTCCAGTGCCCAAATCCTCGGCCTTCGTCTACGACTTGTATTCGGTGGTGCAAATGGAGAGAGAAAGAGTGAAACATATGGATACTCAGGTTCCTGTGCATCGGAAGGAGTCCGACAGGTCTTCGAGGCTTTTGCAAATTAGAGATAAGATCAAGTTGAGGAGGGTTAAAAGCAGTTTGGGGACGCCGGTCACTAATCTTCCCCACAGTCATCAACATATTTAAAAAGCGTTGTATTTTTATTGTATATGGAATAAAAGTTTTACTAACAGTTATCATTGGCGTTTTTAGTACCCTCGTCAAGTGGTTCCTGAAAAAAATATTTTTTAAGTGTGAATTTTCTTTTTTTCTTTCTTAATTTACCTCTGAGTGAGAGACTTCCTCAACCAAAGTTCTCTCACTTTCCATTTTTTCTCTATAAGTACGCTTGAAAAAGTTGCACTAAAAATATAATTTGAAATTATTGTTTCTAATTTTTATTACTCACTTTGTATAAACCAAATATAAGCAATAGCAACAAGATAAGCCCCGAGAGCACTGAACAAATATAAATCCACAATGGTATTTTCACATTTTTAGATATGCCATAAATTTGAGTCGATGTTGATGTGTAAAACCTACATAAAATTTAAAAAAAAATCAAAAATGCGAAAAAACTAATCACCAACTTACATTTTTGTTCCATTCGTAAAATAAGCACTAGTTGACAAAATTAGTTTATTCCTAACGTCAAGTAGCTGTGCTAAAAATTGCACATCATTTTATTAGGAACGAAAATATACGAAATAACGAACCTAGAGAATCAGTATGGACGAGTATTTTTAGTGTAAAAACAAGATTTTGATTCGATTTTTGCAAATATCCCGTCTTACAAGTGACACTTCTACAATTTATTTTTGGCTCAAAACAGCTCAAAACTTTCGTGTTATTGATTTGAATTTGTGTTACAGTCAAATCCAACGGTGGTCTTTTGTCCGAATGATTACATTCACTCACTATACTAGACTAAGAAAAATGGTTAAAACAAATAGAAAAATATGCGAAAACTTACTTTAACACTTTCGATTTCCAAAAGAACACTTCTGTTGATGGTAATTTGTGGTATAAAAAATCCCAAGTTGAGATTAAGTGGACTAGGGCCTTGATTTTCCACAAAAAAGAGATGAGTAATATTTAAAAGTCTTTGGGTTTTATTTATAAAAATATTGTCGGGTTGTGAAACACTTTCAAAATGAAATTATTATCAAAACATGAGAAAACGAATTAGACAAAGATACCTGGTTATTCGAGGATTATTATGTGTCGAGATGGGAATATTCAACACGAGATTGTTATCAGAAGGATAAACGTCTTGTCCAACACTATCAATTGTTAAATTAATAGATAAAAAGGTCCATTTGGGCTGAATGTTGACTAAATCTAACAAGAAATGTTTTTCAAGAGTCTCATTTGAAATCTGTGCAACCAAACATTCGTAACTCCCATTTTTAAAATCACATTCTCTCAAATTAATCAAGCTGACTTCCGGTGGGACATTTAAATGAAGTCTAGTTTCATATGCTGGTTCCCCAAAATTGCTAATTGAAACGTTAATTCTTAGTTCGTTATTTACTCCTAGTATTATTATTTCTCTGAAAATTATTTAAAAGTAATTAAGCGACAACAAGCACATTTTAATTTTGTACGGATCGATTTGTTTTGTCGTGATTGTTAAATTTGTTTGGCAGATATTGTCATTTCCGCAATCATACGACACTGGTAGATTCAATCTTTCTTCTTGCCATATATGTGTTTGACCTGCTTTATATTGAAAACGAATAGTAAGAGGTTCCAGGTTTACGTGATTTTTCTGAAATTTAGTGATTTATTTCATTACACTAAACGCAAGTAAAAAACTGAATACTTGTAAACGGACGCTGTGTAAATTACAATTCTCTGAAATTGGTTTATATGTAACAATTTGAGTAACGTTGTGTTCATTTACAATTCTGTTATCTGCCAATATTAAACTCGTAACAAAAGTCACATCTTTGGTATTCCCATTTCTGTAAGTAAACTGCAGACAATACTTGATTGAAAAAGTTATTGTAGAAGTGAGTAAAGTAGATATGTTTGGAATGATACTAGCTGTGACATCAATTTGTATGTGTGATTGGAAATAAAAAACTTGTCCGGTTTTATAAGCCCCAATTGCAAAGTCTGAAAATTTAATTTTTTTTTAAATTTTAATTCCTTAAAAAAATACCGTTGTGTTTTTTATTTAGTGTATCAACGCCTTTAGATATTCCCAACCCAAAACCCCTTACAACCATTGGGGGAAAAAATGAGGCAAATTTCGAAGGTGCAATACGATGAAAATTATCATTTGAAAATCCGTCTTTACCACCAAGGTACAAATAAACGGCTCCTCTGCCATCGTCTTCGTAAGGAGCCGAGATGGCACAGTCTAGAAATAAATTTTATTTTTTTTTCTTTCAACTTATGTTTAAAGACCTGGAAAAGAATCGAGATTAATGTCTCCAAAATCGGCCATAACTGTTCCAAATCTTGACGAAGAAATTCCTGTTGATAACTTTACAGGAGGATGAAAAGATGGCTAAGATTTATTTAATTGTACTCTCATTACCTTGAATTTTTTTTGTACTTACTCCATCACCATTCTTCTTGTAAAAGTAAACACAACCTTCATCCCATGAATTGCCTGCATACATTGGGGCACCTACTAAAATATCGTCACCTCCTCCTTCATTGTGAATCACCAATAGAGAAGCACCAAAATAGGATCCGAATTCTTCCCCATAAAGCACCGACTTAATATGGACATCGTGCGTATTTGATCCATAAAAAATGACAACCCCTCTGAGGTCAGACCCTCTGGGGGCACCAGAGACGTACCATATCTCACTGGAATTTTTCACAAATCGTCCCCAAGCAACATCATATCCTTAAATTTTTTTAAGCCCAATCCTCAAACTTGGAAAACGCACTTACCGGAGTAAGAGTCAAGAGAGGTAAATCTGTGGTTTAGTTTTGGATATATTTGTATAGAATGCGATTTACTAGTGGTAAGCAAGGCACCTATAATATTTATTACACAGTGACTCAAAATAATGTTAGGGAAGTTATTATCACGAACCATTCCATTTATATTTTCCAGGAGCACCAATTAAAAGCTCATTTTTTTCCTGAAATTATATTGTTTATATTGAAAGCATTTTTCTCACAACATCACACTTTTAAAAATTTTAAACTTGAACCTGACTCCCCAAATGCGGCATCATAGAAGGGCGCAAAATTCTCAGTACCAATTTGGTCTACGAAACATCCAAGTCCTAAATTATTTTTTTATTTACATCACTTACTAAAGTCCTTAAGTGGTAACAAAAGTCTGGCATTTTCATAAATATTTTGAGAATTTTTAACTTGGAAACATCTTCCATTCGTATAATATATGTCATAACCAGGAGTTGTGATAAATCTTGGTGCACATGTCTACAACATAAAAATGCTATTCGTCATATCTATCAACCGCAACTGTTTTTACGAAAAAACTTCCTCCAATTGTCTCATCTCCATCTAACACCGACCCTAAAAAATCCCCATTTTTGCCAATAGGATAAATTCCACTTTCTCGTGAAATTCTCGAGTATTCTTCACATTTTAGATTTACTAGATTACATTTAAACAATGCACCTACTGGTTTACCGGAATATGTTCTTCGAGGGGCGCCAACAATTGCTCTAAATTTACAACAAATAATACTTTTATTCTGATATTTGTACTTACATAGGAGGGTTTCCTTTCTGAAGAAGAATCGAATATCCAAAATAAGAAGATGTATTATTAACTGTTATCATTTTTGTTAACGAATAATTGATTATAGATGCAAATGAAGAGTAATAGCACCAAAAAAATATCATTAAGGGTGTCAGCATTCTGTTGTACATCGAGTAAGTTATTATCTTTACGAGATGACCGTCACAACTAAAATGAGTGAACCATGATGATTCTACAGGAAACAATAACAGATAAAACAAAGGAAACTCACAAAAACTAAAAAAAAAATGTTACTTTTAAACATTTCCCTGTTCTCTGTTTATTAAAAACAATATCGTCCTAATTTAGTACCTACCTATTTATTATCTATCAAATTTAATACATTTTTATACCTGCGGGATATTTGTTAAGAGATGAGTATTTTATTATTTCATTTGAAATACTCAAATGAGAGAATTAACACTGGAAAATTATTTTTCCAACAGAAATAAACAGAGCCAAAATGCAAAATTTATACTCTCATAACATCGAAATTTTTATAGATAGTATATTTTTAACATTTTTTTTATGTTCCCAGTACCTATCTTACCTTACATTTTTCTCTGGGGCGCGGGTTTTGGCGCATTCTGAAAAAGAAAAAGTTAATGTTAGACACTTATTTTTCAATTCTTTCTTCTACATGGTTTTATACTGATATTTTTTAACGTAAAACCATTACTTTTCAAACGAACAAGGAATACCTACCTCTACATAATAATAATGTTCAACTTGTTTTTGTCAACTAAGTTTCACCCATTCATCATGTCATTACATTGTACTGAATAGAAATTTCTATACCTGTGGTTAATTTATAAACAATAAAAACCATAGTTCCTCTTTTATTAAAGTAGGCCATCATGACCAGCATCGCATGTACCAGCATCTCTGATCTTCACTTTTGTTTTTGGACACGAAAATGATGGTCCCAACGTTTGTTCTCATTTTTTTTATTGTAATTTTGTCAGAATTCAGCGTAAGTACCTAATATCACTCTAATATATTTACTTAATATCCGACAGAAGCCTAAAGTGTATATTTTCTATTTGTTTACATAATGAATTATAAATATTAATTACATAATAAATTATAATAAAGACTAACACTAATTTATTTTTACTGTATACTTTCTAATAAGAACGTCTTTTTTAAAAATAAGTATAAAATTTTTATAACAATATATTTAAGCGCCAGATAAGACCATGATTAATCTGTGTTTCCCCGAAGGTCACTGGGTTTTGTGACAACTCCACAAAGGAAATGGTATCGATAAAATTATACACCGACATCAAATATTTTATTCTTCCGACATCAGATGAACCTGTAGTAACATGGATGGACATTCAAAAAGGAATTTACCCGAATGTACATTTTTTTTTACTTATTTTTAAACAATTAACGTACCTAAACATGTTGTAGACATCGCATATTGAATCAAAACTTGACGTCGGAGATCCTATAACAATCTTTATTTATTTAAAAGATCCAAGCAATTTATATGACATTATGGTAACTGACTGTTGGGCCTTTGACGATCAAAATTACGAAACGGCCAAAAACAAGTTGCATTTAACTGAAGAACACTCCAAGAAGTAATTGACTACAAGAATCCAGCTTTTTATTAAGGTTTTTTATTTTAGGAAACGCAAACTCATTGATAAGTGGTATAAAAGTGACAAAATTAAAGGAAGCAGCTTGAAATGCTTTTTATACACTGACATGCCGTCCTTTAAATTTCCTGATAAAGATCAGGTGTACATGAAGTGTGATATTCAGGTGAGGGTTATTGAAACAAGGTAATTAATTTATCTTTTATTTATAGTTATGCTTCAAAAGCTGTGACAAATTTAAAAAAATTGTAACTTAAAATACATGCTGTATGAATTAAAAGACTCAGTAAAACCCTTCATCTTCTTCAGTGTTAATATCACTAGATTCAATAACATTAACCAACATGTGTTTCGGAATTTCTGATCCTCTAATTTGAATATTGTAACACACAAGTTCCATTTTCGCCAAACTTTGTTTCAGAACGTATATCTTGCGACCCATTTCTTTAGTGCCTGGATTTATAATGCCTACAATAAATAGGTATGTGTATTTTTGTATTTTATTTGTTAGAATTTACCCAAAAACCCGGAATAGATGTCTTTTACAAAATTACAAGTTTTGAAACAGTCGCTTACGTTTCCTACACCTAAGTTATTAATGCAACGTCTCATTAACTCCCCAGTAAAATCCGCAATTCCTAATACGAAATCAACTTGTGGAAATAAAAGACAGAATTTTTCACCATCTTGCTCATATTGAAAAGATTTGTTGATAAACTCCCAAGTTTCAATTTTGTTAGAATGTAAGAACTGATAAAAAACCAAAGCTTCAATGAATTCTTGTAATCCACTTGTATAAGCTTTTTGGTATTGATAAGAATCAAAATCTTTCAACAATGAAGCTATAGTTTTAAAATTCTCGTCTGTTATCGTTTTCAGTCTTTTGCAAGCTTCATCCAAAACAGCCTGTCTCTTCCCTTCTCTACAAATATTTAAATTAAAAACATTTATTATAAAACATGACAATAATATCTACATGTCAGTGTTTGTAGAGTGTAGCAAGAAAATGATGCGTTTGTTTTCAATTGTAATATCTCGACTCAACTTTACAATTTTTTCGTAACGATCATGTTTCTCGTCAAGTTCTTTCCTAAACCCAAGAAACATTTGAATCACACGGTTATTTTCATCAATATTTTCCAGTACTTGGCGCCCCTTCTCGCCAACCGTAATTTTCGATTTGCTATGTCTTGCATCTAAGAATAAATAATGTCATGAATGAAAATTTACGTTTCAAACATACTTCTATTTCTCGACATGATAATTATTATTGTTATAAAAACTGTTTAAAAGTTTACATATAAAAATTAAGAATATAATTCCTAACCTCAAATGTGACTGTCACACTGACAGTTGACAACTAAAATCCCTAGAGGTGCCCCAAAAATTGTTATCTGACTCGTTGGGAGGAGGTTTTGTTCAATTAAATAACAAAACCTGCCGATTTATTATCGAATATTAAAAAAATGGTAAGGTGGTAAGAGGTGCTCCACGTTGGTAGAGCGTCTACTGCATGCTTAATTCGATTCTAACTATTTTCCCAACTGCAGATTCGTTTTATATTAATCCAAAACCGGGCAGGCAAAACACGTCTAGCTAAATGGTATATGAATTTCGACGATGATGAGAAGCAAAAACTGATAGAAGAGGTCCATGCTGTGGTCACAGTTCGTGATGCAAAGCACACCAACTTTGTTGAGGTGAGTTGGCTGATGTACAAGAAAGGGGCTTGTCTCACGTCTTTTTTGTAGTTTCGCAATTTCAAGATTGTCTACCGTCGATACGCCGGCCTTTACTTTTGCATATGCGTCGACGTGAACGATAATAATTTATGCTACTTGGAAGCAATACACAATTTTGTTGAAGTACTCAATGAATATTTTCACAATGTTTGTGAATTAGATCTGGTTTTTAATTTCTACAAAGTGTATACTGTTGTTGACGAGATGTTTCTGGCGGGTGAAATTAGGGAAACGTCCCAGACCAAGGTACTCAAGCAGTTGCTAATGTTAAACTCACTTGAATAATTTTATCAAAAACAATATCATACAGTAGAATCTTTTATTTTATGCCATTCCTGTATTTTGTGTGTATATATTGACAATACAGGGCCGTTATTTAAGTCTAGTGGAAATATCGTCAAGATTCGGTGTTGATGTGATGTGTTTATTTCTTATTAATTTAATTATAATAAATTATGAATGAAGAGCCAACATGAACAATATAAGTACATTCCCAATTTTTATTTATTGTAAGTACAGAATTGTATAAATACTGGTGTTCAAACATAAAAGTTAATAAAAGCTTCAAATTTTAAAACTATTAAGTTTTACCTTATGTTGTCTTATCATAAGTTTGGCAATTAGCTATTGCCCTAATTGTAACAAAGATTTGGTAGCAATTAATGCTTTACGAAGTTGCCCATGTTTAAATTACTTGTTTTGTGTTTTCTGCTTGATAATTTAGTATCTATTTTAGGCAACTTAAGTGAGGGAACTGCGGTTTTTTTAAGTCTTGCCTTTTGTACTAAAATTGCGTCACCTACAATATAATTACCACAATACAGGTGATATTCATACAATTGAAGGACTTACTCCTTGCCAGATAATCTTCTTTTCTGAAATGAAGAGAACAAACAACCAAACCTGGAGCAGCTTCTTTCTTCATTAATAGTACTTCCCACAGTTTTTTCCTACTAACTTTTTCTTTTGTCCCCCAGGAATTTACTATTGTTATTGGTGGTTCGTCATTTCTCGGAAAATGATGAAAGTGCAAAGACCTGTTTGAGCTTTTTTTTGAGTTGCAACCAGGTACACAACAATTTGTATTATACGCCGTTTTGGTTTTGGACATTTTAGGCTATACTTAATCCAAAGAAAAGTTTTTTTGAATCGATGAGAAACCGCACACAGAAAATCAAATACATACTTACCTTTAAGCTTCCTGAAAATATTAATAAATTGAAAATTGTGAAAATGACTTTCCCACCTTTCAGCGACCGACGGGCCGTCGGCGACGGCGACGCTTTAACTTTTCTAGTCCTCTGAGTACTCATTTACATAATTCGCAAAGTTACCGTCAGAGTGCGCCCACTTACTTGAAATCGCTGAAAATCCTGAAAACTTCAGCAGGTAACTTGATTCCAATTCATCAACAACGTGCCAATAACTGTGATCACTGGGTGTTTTTTGAGGCATCTTTGAAAAAAACTTTTTCATTATTATCTAATTTGATATAAAATTCTTTTGAAAAAAATCGTATTTTTTGTAGGTATTTCTAAAATATGTTGAAAATACAATAGGCTCCATTAGCAAAAAAAAATTTCATGTTTTTAAAAAAGTTTTAAAGTCAACTTAAACAGCCAAATCTTTGCATATTGTTTACATAGTAATAAACATAATAACAATTACTTATTCCACATACATCTTATTTTTCTAGTATCTACCTAGATATTTTAACAAATTGTAAAAAAAAACAGTGAATTTTCAAGGTGAAGCCAGCTTCATTTTATAACAATTTCCTCTTGGTCGGTATGAAAATTTTACTGCGATTTGCTCAAAATTCCATTGTTCCCAAATTCCTCAAAATTATGCATTTTCAACCGATTTCAATATGCATATTTAGCACTCAAAGAAAAACACAGCACGCCCTCTTGTATAAAAGAAAAAAAAAAACATACGGAGTGTAGGTACTTAAGTAAATAAAATTCAACTGATTTTAAAATAAGAATGTCAATGTGTGTACTTACCTATACCTGTGACGTATAGGAATCTGTGGTATAGGTAGGTATACAGGCTGAGTCACTTATAATAAAGACCCTGACCGATTTTTAGACGCAACCCAAAATACATTCTCACTGTCAACTTTGCTTTTTTTACGTTCGAAAAATTTAGTTTATTAAATTTAAATCAAAGTAATTGTTGATATGTCATTAGTTAAATTTGACAGTGTCAAAAATTCCACTTTCTTCTTCTCTTGAATTCAAAATGTACTAAAACGATGAAAAAACGACATGATCTTGACAAATGGAGAATGCCACATATGCTGTGGCTGAATCTGTACCGTCAAAGGTACACTGTACACCGTAGGATTCCAATTTATAAAAATTGTCAAAACTATCACAGGTATCTATGTTTGTACCTTTGAAAAATGTCAAACAAAACATTAATTAACGCATAGTTTTACCTGAGAATGTATTTTGGATTGCGTCTGAAAATGGGTTGGGGTCTTTATTATAAATGACTCACCCTGTATTTAAAATATATTCCTACTTTTTTTAAAATCAAATCGAAAACGTTAACAAAAATTTTGTACTCTTAACTTATTTTGAAAACACATTTCTTCTATGAATTAAAAACCCAATTTGTTTTCTCAAATTTCATATCAATTTGTTGGTCATATCATTTTACTTAATGGTCAAACGTTACTAAGTTTTTTACTGATTTGCAATAAAGAAAAAATATTGCGGTCTTAATCATAAACGTTTATGTCGGTATTAAATCTCAACCTACTTACACAATACACTTAAAACTGTATTATACACTCTTTCTATTAACATATTTCGACCTACAGTTGGCTATGTGGGTTGTTTACCACAAAAATATAATTAAGTTATCCTCTGTAGCTATAAATGATTCCTTTTCTGTTTAAATGTTGCCAGCGGCACCATCAAAAGGACATCTTTTCGCAAACATTTTGCTATTTCCTGATGTATTACACTTCCATAGGTCATGTTTAATTTCCTTGATGCACAAGTAGGCGTAGCCTAGTCGTATGTCATTTTATTTGATGTACAGCTTGCTAAGTCTCCTGTGACAAAATTAAAAATGTCGGCGGCTCTTTTGAATAACATCAATCGAGTAGAAGAAGCTCGTTGGCATAAGATTATAATTATCGTTATTACATTGTCCACATTGGCGCTTTTTATTGTATGAATTAGCACCATTGTAATTAAATTTTTCAAATGGAGTAATGAGACAAGATAATAGCTACTTTTTAATTAGCTATTAATCAGGTTTTTGCTTAGTGATTTAAATTTCCGTGGCTGTTAGTGGCTCTTCTGTAAGTTCGGTTTACCAAAGCGGAGCCGCCACAAATAATTAACGCACATGTGAAACTGATACTTTTAACTGAGACGACCAGAGTTTGTTCTTTTTGCCACTCCATTGGTTTTAATTGGGTATGCCCACACGAGTCGTGAAAATCGACAATTTGTACTTACATAAACTGCAAATTTAGGTTTTTATATTTTATGATTTTGTATTCGTATAAATTAATTAAAAATGACAGGAATTTTCTATGTGCCGGGAAAGGAGGATATTGAAACCAGCATATGTCGGACTTTGATGAATTGGGCCTGCGGCGCCCCTTGAAGTTCGACTTTGACGGAATTTTTGTCAGTGGAGTAGGAGGAGCGACTTATTTAAATTCCCGTTAATAAGATACGTTTTTCTTGTTGTTCGTGGTTTTTCTATGTGGTGTTGCCAGATGTTATAATAAATAATGAAATTAATCTGTTGAAAGTACGCTTTCATCTACTGTGTTTCCGCAGTATAAATTTCAACACATCCATGATCAATCATTTGAAAATTCAAGCGTGGTAAATTTGTGTCTTGGGAAGCGGTGGCTAGAAAGGGGACATGATTTAAAGTACTTACATTTAATTTTTTTCGACACGAATCCAGATACAAAATGATCAAAAACTGAAGTACTCGTATCTTTTAGTTAGTGTCTTCTAGTTTATATCTGTTTCATTTTCTTAAATCTTCTTAATTTTTGCCGATACCTTGAGATAGTAGATGCTGGATGATTCAAAAGTTTTGTCAAAAGTTTTTTTAAGCTAACAATATTGGTTGGCCCGAATTTTAGTTCAAAACAACATACAACAATTCCAAATACATTTTTTTGCAGGTTTTTTTATTATTTTTATCTATAAAACAAAATTTTCTAAAAGCATTAACATTTGTGGCAGCTTTTTGTACATTCTCTGTGTATTTGTAACACAAATTTTATAATAACTTGCCTGGCTGTGGAAATGAGAACATTGTGTCTTACACTCTGACGATTTGCTCAGTCCTAGTAATTATCTATAAAATGAAATTAAATAACAATATAATAATATTTATTTTGAAAATATACCAATAACTTATTCTAACATCAGCAACAAACACTTTTTAATTTATTTAAAGAGAAATTGCTCTTTATTAGTAATGCAACAAGGTTTAATAATTTTTGTTATTCTGATGAATATTTATTTTTGAAACTCAAAACTATATTGCTCTTCATTATCAAAATTAAACTCTTGTTGTGACAAAATAAACAATTTGATGAACAAAGAACTACATTGCAGTAGGAATTTGTTATTTTATTACTATTGTCTTAGCTTTTTCACATTTATAATGACATAATTATGAAAAAAAATTTTAGCCATCAAACTGGACAAGGCCATCAAAAAATATAACAAATGTTGGCAATATTGGTTATCACTGTTATCAGTTAACATTTGTGGTTGACATTTTTTAAATGACAAGCGGTTTGTTTTTCCAGCAAATATAGACAGGGTTATTCATAAATATGAAGCAATATTTGAAGACGCTTATTTTTATCTTTTTAATTTAGTTAATAAAATTTAGTAAAAACTGTTTAGTAATGGGATCTGGATTGGATTAAATGTTTGGATACCTTTAGGGGGTCAAAAATGTCCTATAAAATGATGTTGATTTAAATAATAATTCGTGTCCGATCTCTATTGAGAAGAATTTTACAGCCCTCGGAATGTGGGTATGGAAATTTATTTTTTTTTGTAATAAGTTTGGAACCATTTGAGCAAATATTATAAAATTTGGAATAGTTACTTGCGAGAACATACCCTTTAGGCTAGTAATTACGAAAACCGGATACATCTACTCAAGTTCCGGTTTCAGCAGTTGCAGGTCACATTTTCTGTATTTTTCCGTTTTTTTGGCCTCTTGACACTAATTTTTTATTGCTTAAATCTAAAGAGTAATCAATTTCAATTCAAAAACGCATAACCTTTTATACCACTAAAATGGACCGTTTTAAAGATATTTTAATTTAAAGTGAGGACTGCACAACACTGAAAGCAAAAAGTATGAATTCATAATTCATTAAAATAACAAAAAAAAACTAAATTTTTAACACTTACAACACTATATAACAAAGTGCTCAGCATTTCGGGGGGTTTTTGAGGTTCAAATATTGCTTCATATTTATGAATAACCCTGTATATTTGATGAATAATGTTTTTAAATTTGGGGTTAATTTAATAATTTGGGGTTTAATTTGGCCTTTGCGTTGCTAACGAAGTACATGTAGGTATTAATTAATTTAATAGTAACAATTAGATTTTTTTTGAACTTTTGAAACAATTTAAAAAATAGTGTGTATCCCACGGTCAGATACTGTTCTGCGAATGCTTGCACAGTTTCTGTTTTTTTTTGAAATTTTAAATGGTGACCTCTTATTTTTATTGTATTTTTGAATTCGCCTCTCCAAACTGAGTAAAATGTACCTAGTTGTTAGTACTTATCTGTCATAGTTTTTGACATATGTCAATTTTTTGCTCAAAATTTTCATTTGCAAAGGTTTTTCATCACAGCTCTTGAACCGTTTGCGATAAGTGAATAATTTTTTTTGCATTCTATAACCAAAGGTTCGAAGAGTTTTACAAAAATTTTCAAAATTGTCAACTGACAAATTGCAACGCTTATATGATTTTTTGAAAATGATATTTAACAAACAGCTATAACTCAGTTTTTTCAAATAAAATGACCCCATTTTCTCAACGGTAATCGAAAGTACGTCGATTTGTAGAAGGACTTTTATCAACTTGTTCTATACCCATCTCTTAGAGTTTCTGAAATAATCACGAAAAACATGTTTTGTTTTTTTCTTTTTATAGTCAAACACGTAGGCTTTGGAAAATGATCAATACGTATTAAAGATGTCTACACAACACCCATCCGGAATTACGAAGAATTGAGGCAGGAATTGAGGCGGCATTTAACAAT